TGAGAAAATGTAAAAATGGAATTAAAGTGTTTGTAGGTGGGGAGGGGAGGAGGGGGTGAAAGGAGGGTGGGGACAAGGGGAAAAAATGAGAACCAAGACCTGTCTTGTAAAGGTACAAGCTCCCAGTAATGAATGTAACTGTACTGTACTGTCTACCTAGAATGTACCAATAAATTTAATTTAAAAGGAAAAAAACAAGAGCTGGGCACGCACCTGAGAACCAAATGAGCAGCCGAGTCAACTGCTGTGCTCTTGAGTCCTGTGAGAGACCATTAGTCACACACACTCAGGCTGTGAACTGAAATTGGACCCAGGAGTTCAGTTAAATACAAGCAGGAAATCATGACCACTAGAAGGACCATTGTCAGAAAGGTTTACTTGACACCAAGAGAAGGGAAGGCAGGGTCTTTGGTGCTTAAAATGATGGAACAGGATATGGGACTTGCCAAAGCATTTTAAGCAGTTATCACCAACCAGCAGGACAAGATAAGAAAATACATGGAAAAGGATTGCGTTGCCAACCAACCAACCAATCAACCAGCCAATCCATGGATCAATCAATGGTATCCACTGGTAACCAGGATGTGCTCTGTGCTGGGTACCAAGCAAACTGGAAGTGCAAAGTGGCCTTCCAGAAGCCCACGTCCCGGCAGGACAAGACCTGGATGTATCTCAGGGCCAACCTGCTTCCCTGGGGTGGGGTTGTCATTGGATGTCTCTCCCTCACTCCTGAGCACTCTGGATGCTGGGTCAAGTACCAGGCCACCCTGCAGTGGGAATGAACTGCAGTCAGGCCTGGGTGCTCATCCAACTGTCAGGCTTCCCCATCTAGCCCAGGGGAAAGGAAGCGAGAGGACGAAACCAAGAGGTTGGGGTGGGATGCAAGGAACCAGAGGAAAAAGAAGAGGGTCTGGGGAGAGTTCAGGTAATAAGTAACATGTGACTCAGAGGGATGTGAAAATGTTAGAACTGGGATCTTGGCTGGAGCCACCGTGGCATACACTACGCATTACAATTTACATCCTCTTAGCCAGACATGTGCTCCCTGCCTGGGCTGGCTGTCATCACTCTAATCCAGCAGTAGCCTTTATATAATTTCAAATCATTGACCACAGGAGGGCTGGCTTAGAAGTGTGGAAGGATCAGTGAAATTCCACTGATCAAGGTAAGTTAGGATGTCTCTAACCTGTTACCCTTGATCAAGAACCTCTGATGACTCCCCTTTGGCAACTACAATATTTCATATATTCTTATAATAACTATGCGGGGCGATAAGGACACACATATACTCCTACAATGTTAAGGAACAACTTCCCTGGGTTATGCTTTGTGGTTTATCCTTATACTCGTTATAGAACTCCACTTTTTGAGTTAATCTCAGTGCTGCTCCAATAGCCAGCCCTGCCGTCCCAAGCTTGGGGCCCATCTTCACCACAGGTTCCCATACCCTTCGTCCCTTCTGCTTGCAAATGTGAGCATCCTTCAAGACCTGGCCCAATCCTGAAGTCTTCCTGTGCCTTTTGCAGTTGCTCCAACTTGTGGAATCCTGACGTGCTCTGAAAGTTCCCTCTGCTGTCTGCCCTGCCCACTCAGCACAGAGCCGTGTGCCTCACTTTGTTCTCTATTGGGAGCTTTCTCTCCAATTACATTGTAAACCTCTGACCACTGCCCTGTCTTGTATGCTGTTGTCCCTCCATGAAACCCCTGCACCTTTCCTGTCAGCAGCACTAAGTGTGTAAGAAACCTGAGCAGTGTGTGTCAGGACTCATCCCACAGTGGTGCCATGGGGGGAAGCCTTTCAGAGGTGGGGCCTGGAGGGAGGTCTTGGGTCAGTGGAGCTGCTCTTGAAGGGGACAGCCTCTCTCTCTCTCTTTGTCCCCTGGCAGCCATGAGCTAAGGAACTTTGCTCTATCAGGACTCCCCGCCATGATGGGCTGCCTCACCACAGGCCCCAGAGTAGCAGCAGTGCCACCAACCACAGGCTGGAACCACTACAACTGCATGCCAAACCAAACCTTATCTCTTTTAAATTGGTTATCTCAGGTAGTTTGTTATAGCAACCAAAAACTGACTAATACAACAACAGAAAATAAAGCTTACTAACAATGAGTTGTCTTATGGAAAGGATGCCACATCACCATCCATATTTTTTTTTGTATTACTTGTAAAGTCTCATACAATGAGACAGTGGCTGTTAACTATGAGACCCTTCATTTTACTTGTACACAAGAAAGTTGAAGCCCAGAGAGGCTAGTTATTCTCCAGAGGTTGGCATGAGAGCCTAAGGCTCGTCCTTCTTAGTTTAATCTTCCCATTGAGCAATGACACAGCCAATGGAATAAGGCGAACCTTTACCAACATGGAACTCCAGGTACAGGGCTGGCACAATGAATCACAGTGACATTTGATGGCTTCTACTGTTATACGCGTCAAGGGAATCAGAGGGCACGTGGTGTTTTCCCAGCAATCAATTTCTAGTTTCTTTTTGCTAAAGCAATGACCAGAGCATAAACAATTTCCGAATTAAAAAGCTATCTCAGATAAAAGATAACTGCCTGTCTCCCCCACAGCTCCGAGCGTCTCCAGTCATTGTGAACTCTAGCCAACTAGTTTGGAATTTCCTAGGAAGAGTTTATGGCTTCTCTTAAAGAAGTTGTTTTGATTTATGCTGATCATGTCTGACAGCCAACATTTCTCTTAATAATAATCATAAATAAGTGAGACAAGGTCACCTAACCTGAAGTGAGCACTTCTCCACTGCGATATCCATCAAGGAGCCTGGATCAACGGCGGCTGATCTCAGTGGTCTAATGCTCCTCACGCTCCCTCCTAAATCCCCTCTCTAGCACCTGCCCTGGCATTTTTATCTCACACCATCTTCTTCTGATAGCCCCACCTCCAAAGTGACACTCAGAGGACCACAGTCATGAAAGGACTCAGCCCTGAGCAAGGACGTGGGCAGAGCCTGCTGTCTGCTATCCCAAAATTATTTTACACATTTTTCCTTTCTCTTTATTCACTGTAACAGTCAAACCTATTAAATGAAAGCCTTTAAAAGAGAGTAGAAGATAGTAAAGAACAAAACAGATTGGCAGATTCAAGGTGCTGAATGAGAGGAGGTGACAGTGCCCTGTAACCCTAAAACACGTGTCCACCTAACGAACGTCACCTAGACCGGTAGGCTGCAATAACAAGGTCACCAGCCAAGTACTGGGAAGGCCACAGATATTTTTTTCCACAAAGACTTCAGCTGGCTAAACTTTGTAATAACTTGCAATAACTAACACTATTCCATTCCAGTGCCCTTGGCTCTGACCACGGGACACAGCCATTGTTATGTTACACTGAGAGGCCTGTCACTCTTGTCCTGTATGGGTTCTGCTCCAGGGCCCACTGCTGAGACTGAGGGTGAGCCGGGCACAGTCCAAGCGTGTCAGAAACTGAAACATACGGCTGAGAGAAAAACATCAAGGTGCTGACAGCCGCACGGGTCCCGAACACGCCTAGAAAGTGACAGCAGCCATTCTGGGACCAGAGCTGGGGTGGGTGGATGGGGCTGTCTACATTATGACATCTGGGATGGAAAATGCACAGCTGCAGGGGCCCTGAAGGTCAGTTTCCTTGATTTGAGGACGATGAATGGTTTACGATGTGCATTGATCATGGCCCTTATACCCCAGCACTCACATTCAGGAATGGTAGGAAACAGGGAAAGCAGCCCCACAATCAACAGGAAAACCCAGGCGGGGCAGGAACTGCCAACGGTAGCATGGGGAGGCCCCAGTCCTGAGCATCACCCTATCTTTCAATCTCAAATATGCCGGTGGCCCTGATATTCTCTGGGACAGCCCTGCCTACCACAGAAGGGCCCTGGGAGGACAGGCGAGGGAGGAGCAGGGCCCACACCCTCACTTCAGCCACGCAGAGAAGTGCGCATGGGGCTGGGCTAAGATTTTGATTCATTAAAAACAACGAATGCTTGGGCTAAAGAATGAGCAGGGATAATTTGTTTAAAAGCCTTTTAAGAACAGAAATAATTCCAGGCAAGATTCTCAAGTAGCTTAAGTTGCCCTGGTGCTCTCTGCCTGCCTCTGGCTTCCTCCTCTCCTTTCTGTCCTGTGCCCTCAGCTACCTCATGGGTACCTCAGTCCTCTGCTCCTTTCCCATCATAACTCACTGTCACATGTCACCTCCACTGAACGAGCAAGTGGCTGTCTACACGAGTTCTTCCTGAGCCCATGCGTCTTGACAGCACATTCCTGGAGTCGACAGAGGCCCGTCCAAAAGCAGGCCAGCCCCCACCGTGGGTCTACTCCGTGCTGCCTCGTGCGCGGGTCAGTGGGGCGCTGGCCCTGCAGCTGGAACACAGACAGCGCTGCCCGCAAGTGTAGGGGTGGGAGGGGGAGGGCCGCCTCCACTGTGCTTGCAGAGGGACACTGTGCGCGCCATCCCATGTCACTGGGGGCTCAGAGGCCACCAGCCCTACATCTGGGCTTCTGCAGCCACGAGGCCATGTGCCCTGACCTGATCCCTCAGCAGGCTCCTAGCGCCAGTGGCCTCGGTCCTTGCACAGGTCCAGCCACTTGCTGGGCACTGAGGGAAGAGGACCCACGGAGGAGGGAGCCTGGCCCCTCCATCCCTACAGCCAGCAGTGCAGAGCAGGCCCTAGCCATGCAGGCCTCAACCTTTCAGCTCTGCAGTTGTGTCCCCAGCCACAGCCTGACAGGCCTGACTTCTCCTGGGGCTGGATGCTCCCTCACACCTGCACAGGATGCTATCACCTCCACCTCTGCCCTCCCGGTGGCCCCGGCACCTACCCGAGTTGGATCTTTTCTTTGGGGTCTTGAGGCTCCGGCACCTCCCGCCCACTGAGCTGCTGTTCTCGCTCATGGAGTCCTGCGCCGAGGACGCACTGCCTGTGGCCTCACTGTCCCGCATCATGCTCTCATAGCCACTGCTGCCACCACTGTGGTAGAACAGGGCTGTCTTGCCCATGGCTGGCGGCAGCTCCCCGCTCAGCACACTGCTGTTGTCACTGCCATGGCCACTGCTGCAGCGGTGTGGCCTCCTCGGTGGGGTGATCTTGCTGTAGGGTGAGGGCAGCAGGTGCGTGGTGGCTGCTGGCCTGTCCTCCCCACGCTCCTCGGCCTGCAGACCCCGTGTGCCCGCGGTGCCCTGCAGCAGCTCTGAGATGCGCCCGTTCACTGCACGCAGCGGCAGCTTGGACGCCAGGCCCGAGCTGCGGTTCCTGCTGAGCGACTGGGTGGACCAGGACATGTGCTTCCCACTGGGCGGCAGGTTGGAGCTCTGGCCCACTGACTGTGGCAGAGACTTGGTGGAGAAGCTGAGGGTCTTGGTGGAGGAGGTGGACAGGCTGCGTGCCTTGGGGCTGGCCAGGAGCAGCTTGCTCACAGCTGAGATCTTGGATTGGCTGGCCTTGGGCGAGGTCCCCGTGGACTGGGTAGCACCACAGCTGGGTGGCGAGGCCCCTGCACTGCGGCTCAGACTCCGTCCTGTGCGGGGCATGGTGCTGTCCTTGCCCATGTGCATCCGCGCACTCATGGAGGACAGGCTCTCAGCCCTCTCCAGCGACAGGCACTCGTAGTGGCTGACCGTTGCCCTGCCGAGCGAGTTGGTCCTGCTGGCCAGCTGCTCCAGCTTGGCACTGAAGAGCTTGCTGCTGCTGCTAACATCCTTGGTCTTGCTGCCTGGCTCGTCAGGGAAGCTGGCCAAGAAGGTGGCTGGATGGCTCAAGGGGCTACTGGTGCCGGCACTGTGCTGGGGACTGGCCCGGTTCTTCTGGTCCAAGCTGGACTTGCGGATGGGGGGCAGAGGTGGGGTCCCTTTGGGCCGAGCCAGGACACAGTGCTTGGGTGAAGCCACCTTCCTCTCCAGGGTGGCCTTGGAGGGCTGAGCACAGAAGCCGCTGGAGTCAGCCGCACAGTGGTAGAAGAGGCTGTCGGGCTCCTCGTGCCTGGTGGCCTTCTGAAAGGCCCTCGGGAGACTGCTGGACTTCAGGCTTTTGTGGGAGTGCATGGGGCTCTGGGCTCCCAAGCTGGGCAGCGCCATCTCACAGCCATCCACCACCCTCCTGAGGTTGTCAGTCACGGGGGAGGCAGACACCTCCCCGCTGCTGCTGCTGAGCCTGTCACTCGGGCTGGGGTTCCTCTCTGCCTCCTGCTCTGCTCTGGCCTCAGGCTTGGTGGGGCCGGTGGCACTGTCATACTGAGTCCCTTCCTCACTGGGATACACACTTTCGGTTTCCACTTCCTCTTCGCGCTTGAGCCAGGGGTCCTCAAATTTCATCTCTTTTCTTGTACCAGCTTCCTTTCTCTCCTGGGACTGTGTGGCTTTGGGGGCTGTTTTGGGGGTGGCGGTGGATGCCTCGGTGTCCTGGACACTGTGGGCACTCATGGCAATGCAGGGGTACACTGTGATGTTGGTCTTCATGGGGATGTAGCCCTCGCAACTGCTCAGATTGGCCGTGTTGGAGATGGTGACCATGGCCTTGCCCAGGGTCGATATCTTGCAGCCCTTGAGGGGAGTGGCCTTGTGGAAAGTGTCGTCCGCCACATCGGACAAGATGAGCAAGTTGTCGGGGCCCGCCTTGGGCTTCTCCCTGCACACCACGGCGGTGTTCTGGATGCTGCTGACAAACTCCGAGGCTGGGGGATCCGCCATGGCCTCCCCATGCCCGAAACACGTCTGGGCTATGAAACTGTGGCAGGACTGCTCCCCGTCACTGCCCGCGCTCATCTCGCTCAGCCAGGAGCTGATGGAGGAGCGCCTGCTGCCCACCTCCCGGGCCTTCTCCTCCAGGCTCAGCTTCGGGAGAGGCAGAAACTGCGTGATGCTCACCTCGGAGACGGGTGCCATGCTGGAGTAGCCCTCGAGGTCCTCGCTGATGCTGCTGATGATGCTGACCGGCCGGGAGCCCGAGGCCAAGGCCTGCACAGAGCAGTCACTGTTGAAGCTGATGATGCTGGTGGGGCGGCCGCTGTCCAGGACCCCGCTGATGGTCAGCTCCTCCACCAGCGTGAACACCAGCTCGTCCTCGCCATTCAGCTCCAGTGGCTGCTGCACAGTCACCATCGTGGTGCTCAGGATCTCCTTCTTGGAGTCTGGAGGAGGAGATGCCTGGCGCCCATCCTCGATGGGGGTCTCCGCAAAGCCCTCACTCCCTATAGACATGGATTTCTTCAAAACCTGGGGGCTCATTCCCACCGGTGGGGTACGGATCTCAGGCTGCAGCAAGGACTCACTGGAAACCATGCCGGAGTCCTTGCTCAAGGGTGGCAGTGGGGCGGGGGATGGCAGGACCCCCTTCTGGGTGTAGACTTTGCACCTCTGCGAAGGAGAGCTGGGGGGCTTGTACTCAGAGGTCTTGGACAGGCTGGCGATGCCCAGCCGGGGTGAGCCCATGGGCCTGGGCTTGCCTTCCACAAAGCTGCAGGAGTTCAGGCTCTCGCGGCTGCTCTGGAGGCTGGGGCTCTGCACAAGCTGGGAGGTGCTGTGCTGGCTGCTGCTGCCTGGGATGCTCCGGGGCGAGGCCGGGGCAGGGCTGCTGCTGTGGGCTGTGGCAGGCACCGGGGAGCGATCCCGCTGTGCCTTGGCGGGCAGGGGCTCTGCGCCTTCCTGGCCAATCAGCTCGCTGTCTGACCCATCATCTTCCTTATCGGACTCGGACAGCCGGTGCGCCCCGGCTGCTTGGCTTAACAGGGGGCATCTGCTGGCCTGTTCTGCCCCAAACTGGGCAGGCAGCTCTTCGAAAGGGAATTTACTGGGCTCCTCACTGCCATCAATGCAGTCCAGTCGCTCCTGCAGCTCAGCAAATGTGTTGCATTTCAAGCAGTCCCTTTCCGCTTTGCTAGCCGCAGCCTCTCCTGCCTCTGCAGGCCGGCTGTCACCCCTGGTCTTCTGCAGCGCAGGCACAATGGGGACAAAGTCTGGAGGGCCCTCGTTGTCGGTGAGCTCCTTGTCGGAGAGGGCTGTGCCATTGGGCCCGATGTAGATGACGGTGTCACAGGACTGCTCGCTGCTGGAGGAGTAGTCAGGGTCGCTGGACAGGTGAGCGACGGGAAAGTCGGGCTCCACCGTGGCCCTGCTGTGGAAGGGTCTCAGCTGGGTGGGCCTGCGCATTCTGCCTTCCTCACAGGAGCTTTCTCCGCCAGAGGAGCTGGACGTGTACTGTGAGTGAGAGGACAGTTACCGCGGTGGCGCTTCCAAGGCCGCCCTCCCAGGCAGCAAGGGGCAGGAGTCACTGAAGGTCACCCTGCTTGGCCACCCCACACAGGGCCCATTACTCAGTGGGGACTCAAAGACTGCTCAGGAAAGGGGGGAGCCAGGACACGCCCTGCCTGACCGCACCTGGGCTGTTCCTGTGACTGTGCAAAGCCCTGTTTCATATCAAGAAAGAAAAAAAGTACATAAAAGAGAAGGAAAAAGAACCACACACACACAAAAAAGCCTCACATATCTCCAGTTGGACCTGGATCTGAGCGGCTACGATCACCATGGTTTTGTCAAACATTCTCACCGTGGTGCCACCGCCTGGCTTTGCTTCTGCCAGAGGACACAAGCGGTGTGCTATCCAGCAGACTCTGTCCCGAGGAAACCACTGAATCCGCACAACAAACCCAGCAGCCAGGAAATGACTCCCGGACATGCTGGGGAAGCAAGGCTATGCGAGCTAGGAGCTGCTAACTCCTCTGTGGTCGCCTCACTGCAGGAGGCTCTCTTCATCTACCTGCGACCCATGTGGGCTAGGGGGAAAGTGTGGATACTCCCAGCCCACTGACGTCTTTCATCTCAAAGTAGCAATCCACTTGCACTATACAAAGTGTACCAAGTGCTCCCTGTCAGGGCTGAGGCCGGTTGACCAGGTCAGCAGCAGCCATGGGGAAGGGACCCAGGTCAGCTGGGACATTTCCCTGCATCCCAGTGGATGCAGTGGCAGCTGCAATTGCTCACACTTCATGCTCAGGGAGCAGCGAGGTCGATTTGGCCCTTATGACCCAGTCCTAGGGCAAGGCTCCAAAAGCTCCTCTACCCGCCACAGCCCTGCGAGCCCCTCACCTTCGTCTTCTTCTTCTTCATCCTTAAGACCCTCGATGCGATCTGGAGGGTGGACAGGGTTTCTGCGTAGTTCCCGGCCGCAGCAGAGATGTGAGCGATCATGGTGGTGCGACAGTTCATGTTCCCCAGAGACTCCCGCAGCAGCATGGTGAGCTTGCTCTCTCTGCCAAACAAAGTGAATTAAGGCTGCATTAGTGGGCCATGCTTCACGTTGGCTGTCAGGGTGGGACTTCAGGTCTGTATGTGGCTATTTTGTTGTGGGTGGTGGGTTTTTTTTAAATGGAATACTAATTAGCATCATTTTCCAGCATGGGGCTATTTGTAGTTGGCAGCTGAGCAAGTGCTTCTAACTCCAAAGATGAAATTCATGCAAACGCCTCCCTTGGCACTTGTGTCCTGGCTGTGATGAGGTGTTTCTGTGTGTCTGTGTGTGCATCTGACTCCGCACATAATGAGGCCTGGGAATAGAAATGAGAAGAAGGGATCAAGAGAAAATGGCCTTGTGGCCAGCGATTCGGCATGCTCTCCACACGCAGCCCTTTGCTGCAAGTTCGTGCATACAGGCAGGTCCTGCAATGAGAAGCGCTCTCCCATTATGCGTGTACGACACATGCAAAGTTTCATGCAGAGAGAGACAACCACTTTGCCATCATTGTCTCCTAACCCTCATGCTGCACTTCATAGCGTGAAGGAAAATGCTTTCATATTCCTGATAAGTGAAGAGACAGACATAGGCACAAATACTCAGGAACAGAAGGCAGAACTTTCTGGAAAGGCTTCTGGTGACAACTTTGCAGTTGTTGCAAGGGCCCAGCATCCCACATGGTGATAAACAGGCCAAGGGGTTTACAGATGGTGTTTCATGAATTACTTGGGGGAGCGCTTTTCCCTTCTACACAGTCCCACCAACTTTCTTGCCTCACTTTGGCAAGGCCTCTGCTCACTGCACCAGCAGCGTTCAGCCGCTCAGCTGCCGCCACGTGTCATCTCCCGGGAACCCACTCTGATCCTAAAGATGGAGGCAGCCCGCAGCCCCCATGTCCACATCTGCATGCCATGTTTATAACGCGGGATGAGAGGAGCTGGTCCTTGTGTCCGCTTCCCCTGCCGAACCCCTTGGAGAGGGACCGCCCAGTTCACTGGACTGTGGGAGACTCAGGCTGCCATCCGCAGAGAATGGGCCATTTCCCACACGAACTGCATCTGGTTTCGGAGAGGAGAGGCTGGTGCATTCGTGTTTTTCTTTCCATCTGGGACCAATTAAGGTGTCCATTCAGGGATGCTGGGCTCGAGATGGCTCAGTTCCAGAGAAATTTATAAATATACCAGGGCTCCCCTTCAGGAAAATACTCAGTGATGAAAGTGGTGGAGGGCTGGGTGGGGGAGCAGGGCCTCGCTGCACACATTTAATTCCCATCAAGACTTAGGGCACAGGGATGTCACGGACCCCGCTGCTGAGTGAGGAGGTCCAGGCCCGTTCCTGTAGACCTCAACAGAGCCGCTGCGCCTGTGCCAGTCTTGGCCTTATCTTCACTATGGGGAGCAGGATGATTTGTTTGGCTCAGGCTGCAATCATATATAGTCGAGCCTGATTATTCATGGTAATTATGTTATATGCACTTCCTGTGAACACTGGATTAGTGAACACCAAGCCACGGCTCTTAGAGGAAATACACCGTTTAGGTTCTGGTCACGACAGTTCTGTCAACTGGTCAGTACATAACCTGGGTTAATGTCTGTATCTGTTGAAAGACACATTATTTAATAATTGCTTTTTGTAAACTACAAACTATATGCAGTCTTTCTTTATAAGAAAACACTAGCCAGGAGGACTTTAATCTTTTCCTAAGGCTTACTAATGTGACCATAAATTTCTTTGGCTTTTAGCCTCACAATAATACCATCCAGTACACTTTTTTTCTCTTTAATTGTCCATCATTTTATGAGCTTACAGATCCAACCATTTAAAAATATTCTTTCTGAAGTCTTTCTGATGTATAGTTACTTTAGCACTTTCCAAAGTGGCCTTACAGAGAGCGGTGTATTTCCTCTTCCTTTTTTCTCAATGTATGGTATTATTATTACTATTATTTCTTTTTCTTTATAGTACTGGGGCCTGAACCCAGGGCCTTCACACTGAGCTATATCCCCAGCCCTTTTACTTTTTATTTTGAAACAAGGTCTTACTAAGTCACTGTTTCCCAGGCTGGGCTCCAGCTTGCGATCCTCCTGGCCCGGCCTCCCAGAGCGCTGGGATTACAGGGCTATGCCAACACGACCCCGGCTTCCTCCATACCAGTGATCCATTGACACTGAATCCCCAGCCAACGGCACTGTCCCTCAAGCCTGTGTTTCTCCAGAAGGAGCGTCACAGCCCTCTCTTGCTTGGTTACATCAGACAGCGCTGCAGTGCTATGCCAAAGGATCATTTTACACAATGAAGTCACCACCAAAAAGCTAA